AGAGACAGGTTTCACCATCATGGCCAGGCTGGCCTCAAACTTCTGACCTCAAGTGATTGCCCCACCTTGGCCTCCCAAAGTGCTGGGATTACAGGCATGAGCCACCGCACCCAGCCTGGCTTAAAACTTTCAATGGCTAGGCTTGGTGGTTCATGCCTATAATCCCAGCACGTTGGGAGGCCGAGAAGGGTAGATCACAAGGTCAGGAGTTCAAGACCAGCCTGGCCAAAATGGTGAAAGCCCAGCTCTACTAAAAATACAAAAATTAGCCAGGTGTCATGGCAGGTGCCTGTAATCCCAACTACTCAAGAGACTGAGGTAGAGAATTACTTGAACTCAGGAGGCGGAGGTTGCAGGGAGCTGAGATCGCATGACTGCACTGCAGCCTGGGCAACAAAGTGAGACTCCTGTCCCAAAAAAAAAAAAAAAAAACTTTAAATGCCTTCTCATCAGTCCCAAAAAAAAAAAAAAAAGATCACAATCCTTATTGGTACCTACCTACCACTTCACAAATGACTCTGTTTACTCTACTCTGAAGTACACAAGCGTGTAACTTGTTCAAAATGACTCTGCCTTCACTTACCTTTGAGCCTGTACATGTGCTGCCCACCCCCAGACACTGTTTTCCATTCCCCAAAATGTTCTCAGTTAACATAATTCACTTTTCAGATCTCAACTCCAACATTACTTCTATGACACACCAAGCTAGGTGGAAGCACCTAACACATACTTGCATGCTAACATATACCTTCCCTAGATGTAATTTATTATTGTTTATTTGATTAATAAGAAGGTCAACTATAAATCACTTGAGAGTAGAAATTGTATCTGATGACAAAACAGTCTGATGTAAAATACATGTAAGCAGCTGCAGAATAACTGAATATGTAACAAACTAATATATTCCTTCATACTAAGAAGCACGATACATACATTTAAACATACAGTATATTTCATTTTACTGTGTGCACTGCTTTTGGAACTCCTGTGGTTCCAACTTGGGAGCCTATAAAATTTTGCCAGTTTTCTTTGAGATCTTTATGGTATTATCTGATTATTCTAAAAGAATAAGAGTATCACCAGTTTGTCTTCCCACTATTCAAAGCAAACTTTGAAAATCAAGCACGGTGGCTCACGCTGGTAAACTTAACTCTTTGGAAAGTCAAGGTGGGCAGGTCCCTTGAGTCCAAAAGTTCAAGACCAGCCTGCGCGCAATGTGGCGAAACCCTGTCCTTACCAAAAAAAATTCAAAAATTAGCCAGGTGTGGTGGCACACACCTGTAGTCCCGGCTGCTTGGGAAGCTGAGGTGGGAGGACTGCTTGAGCCCAGGAAGTAGAAGCTGCAGTAAGCTGAGAACATACCACTGCACTCCAGCCTGGGCAACAAACACCCTGTCTTTAAAAAAAAAAAAGGAGCAAAGTTTGAATACTAATTTTAAGGGAAAATAGAACTAAAAAA